GGTTAATCCTCCGCCTATAGCACTGGCATCCCATGTAGGTGCCGGTTCTAGTCCCGGCTATTCGTCTTCCAATCCAGCTCTTTGTTATTGCCTGGGAAAGGGCCCCTGCATGGCCGTGGGAGACCCTGAAGAAGCTCCTGGCTCCTGGCTTCAGACCAACGCAGCTCTGGCCATTTGGGGAGTGAACCACAGGATGGAGGATCTGTAACTCTACCTCTCAAATAAATAAATAAAATCTTAAAAAAAAAAAAAAAGAGCCATCATCTTTTGCTGAAAGAAAGTGCTAACAGAGGGGCCAGTCTGTGGAGTCTAAAAATAGCCTCAGAACAGGTTGTTGGGGGCAGGTGCTGTGGTGCAGTGGGTTAATCTGGCATCAGCAGTACTGGCATCCCATATGAGTGCTGGCTTGAGTCCCAAGCTGCTTCACTTCTGATCCAGCTCCCTGCCAATACACCTGGGAAAGCAGTGGAAGATGACACAAATCCTTGGACCCCTGCACAGTGAGGAGTCAGACCAGCTAGTGGGCAGTCAGGGTGGTCTTGGTGGAGGTTTAGGTTACAAAGTGCTTGCTTTCTCTGGAGGCTGTCTTTGGCAAGGTCAAAAGTGCTTGCCTGCCCACTCCCCCAAAGCTTCCAATCTTATCATGAGAATAGCAAGGGAGTGGTGGATTCCTTCTGAGCTCCCAGTTTACTGGAAAGCAAATTAGGTATCCTACCCTTCTGATGGCTCTTTTTTATCCGGAGCAAGCCATACAGAATAAAATATTGCAAATCAGGTCTTTTGATAGGTTTTGTCCCTGCCTTGTAACTGAATGTACAGTTTATTTCTTCCCCCAAATTGTGCTTAAAAACCCCAGTACCACCAGCCCCTTTGGGTTTTGTCTATCCTGGAGTCTCGTTCCATGCCACTCTGGCTGGAGGTCTGTGATTCTAATAAATCTTGCTTTTAAATCTCTGCTTGTCCACTTGGAAATTCTTCTTCCATGTGAGACAAAGAACCACGGTAATAATATTTTCTCCACCGCTGTTTTACCTGTAACACACCCACATGGGAGATCTGGAAGAAGCTCCTGGCTCCTAGCTTCAGTCTGGCCCAGCTCTGACTGTTGCAGCCACTTGGGGGTGAACCAGCAGATGAAGATCTGCTCCCCCCCCCATAACTCTTTCAAATGAATAAATGAATAAATCTTAAAAAAAAAAAAAACCACGGTGTTGGCAGGATTTGCCAAGGGAGAAAGGCTGAATTTGGAGGATCTAGACTGGCAGACGCTGCTGTAGGAGTGTAGGAGTGGCAAATATCCCCCATTTAATCTGAAGGCTAGAAATACCTCTCAGCCCTTCCCATGTCTTGTGTTGATTCTCTACTTATGGAGCATTCGAGGTCCCTTAACTAAGACCCTGGTTCCAAGTGCCAGAAACATCTCCAGAAAAGAATACTGCCCCAGCCCCAGGTAGGACTGAATACTTGGCATCCATTTCTTATGACTATGCTGTGAATCACACTTTCCTTCTCAGCAGAGAGGCAGGAAGAAGGGACCCCATCAGTTTCTACCACATTGCACACCCTAATGGGAGTGGCCAGCCTGCTTCCTCTTTTGTTAACTAGCTAATTTTACCTTACCCTTCACAGGCTACTAAATCCACATGACCTCCATGTTAAAAGAAATGTAATGGGGGCCAGTACGGTGGCATAGTGGGTAAAGCCACTGCCTTCAGTGCCAGCATCCCATATGGACACTATTTTGAAACCTGGCTGCTCCACTTCTGATTGATCCAGCTCTCTGCTGTGGCCTGGGAAAGCAGTGGAAGATGGCCCAAGTGCTTGGGCTCCTGCACCCGCAAGGGAGACCCAGAGGAAACTTCTGGCTCTTGGCTTCAGATCGGCTCAGCTCCAGCTGATGCGGCCATTTGGTGAGTGAACCAGTGGATTAAAGATCTCCGTCTCTGCCTCTGCCTCTCTGTATCTCTGCCTTTCAAATAAATAAATAGATCTTTAAAAAACAATCTGTAATGGTCCTTTTCTGACAGCATAAAGCCTAAACTATATGGTTTGGTCTTTAAGGGTCTTCATTCATTATCTGACTCCAATCTACTCAAGGCCTTCTTCTTTCTTTTTTTTTTTTTTAAAGCTTTATTTTTATTTATTTTGAAAGACAGAGTTACAGAGAGAGGTAGAGACAGAGGTCTTCCATCTGCTGGTTCACTTCCCCAGGTGGCCGTTTTACTTCCCAGGTGGCCGCAATGGCCTGGAGCTGTGCTGATCTGAAGCTAGGAGCTTCTTCCAAGTCTCCCATGTGGGTGCAGGGGCCCAAGGATTCGGGCTATCTTCTACCGCTTTCCCTGGCCGTAGCTGAGAGTTGGATCAGAAGAGGAGCATCAAGGAATAGAATCAGCACCCATATATATGCTGACACTTAAGGCCAGGGTGTTAACCCACTACACCACAGCGCCAGCCCCTGTTTCTCTCTCTTTTTAAAAATTTATTTATTTGAAAGTCAGAGTTAAACAGAGAAAGAGAGAGCCTCCACCCACCAGTTCACTCCCCAAATGGCCACAATGCCCAGGGCTGGGCCAGGCCCAAAGCCAGGAGTCAGGAGCCTTCCTGGGGTCAGCCACATGTGTGCAGCAGCCCAAGCACTTGGGCCATCTTTGCACTGCCTTAGGCACATCAGCATGGATCTGGATCTGAAACAGAGCAGCTAGGACTCAAATCAGAGCCCACAAGAGACGCTGGTGTCGCAGGAGTTGGCCTTACCTACTAGGCCACAGCACCAGCCCAAGGCCACATTCTAACACTTTCCTTTGTAATATCCCAAAGGGTAACCAAGACAAGATGACTGCAATAAAATTTAGACAGCACAAAAACTGAGACATTGACTTCAAAAGACTGGCATGGCACAATAACAAACTTCTCACCTAAACTGTCAGATAATGTATGTTGTTAACCCCCATCTATTCTGTTCACATCATGATGGATAAGGGTATAGAATCAGAATCAAAATGGAGTGTGGCTAAAAGCTGATTGCAGATGTTTTGCTTCTGTACATATTAGCTTTGCTGGCTAAGAGCTAAGGGTGTATCTTGTGACACTATGTGGGTGCAAACTCCCAGGAACTAGGTTGACAGAAATGTGTACTTCACTGTTATCTTACAACTGTATCTTGGATCTGTTATTGGGTTTGTTATTGTTAAATTATCCTACAACCATATTCTGGCTTTCCTCTTTATTGTTCATTGCATACCAGGGGTTCGGTTCGAAATTGTGAGCCCTAGTGGACAGAATACTATAAAAAGCTGTGTAACTCACTGTTGGGGGCCGCACTCTGGTAAGGAGTGTCGGTCCCGATCGGTTGCCTTGCCTGTCATTTGTCTCCCATTTTCAATAAAATTCATGTATGACTGTCACTGGTTTTTTTGTTTGTTTGTTTGTTTTTGTTTTTTTTGACAGGCAGAGTGGATAGTGAGAGAGAGAGAAAGGTCTTCCTTTTGCCATTGGTTCACCCTCCAATGGCCGGCGCACCGCGCTGATCCGAAGCCAGGAGCCAGGTGCTTCTCCTGGTCTCCCATGGGGTGCAGGGCCCAAGCACTTGGGCCATCCTCCACTGCCTTCCTGGGCCACAGCAGAGAGCTGGCCTGGAAGAGGGGCAACCGGGACAGAATCCGGTGCCCCGACCGGGACTAGAACCCAGTGTGCCGGTGCCGCTAGGTGGAGGATTAGCCTAGTGAGCTGCGGCGCCGGCCTGTCACTGGTTTTTGTAATACTCTGTTTTAGCTGACGAGTGGATGCATCAAGAGCTGATTGGAAGAGGAGGTTAATGTGCCTTACCCTGGAGCCAATATCCATCCCTGAAGCTCTGCAAAGAGCCTGTGCATCCGCCACCCTGAAACTCTGCTTGTTCCCTGGGCAAGCTATCCTGTACACCCCCGATGATCCCACCAGGAGGAATACCTTCCGTTTCCTTATGGGCCAACTCAATGTCGCTTCCTCTGCAGTCTTTCCTGGCCCTACCTTCTATTCATCCATCTGTTTTTGCACATTTTACGCTGTACAGTGAAGTCTCATCTTACAAAGGGGTTGCATTTGGTAGCCGGGGCATTACACAGAGATTCCAAGTGGTCAAAATCACCTTTGGAAGATACCATGAGGGTGCTCCCTATATTGTCCCTTGTTGAACAGCATAGCCAGCGGATCTTCAACATGCTAACAATTTTCCGTTTCTACTTTATTTCAAGTGACCATGACCACATTTACTGTGGCAAAAATGCACACACTACCACGTCTCCCTTTCTCTCCAACTCTGGAAAAACGCCTTGTGGAATCTGAAACCTGTTGAAGAAAGCCATATACTGTCATCTCCCATAGGCCACCTTGCTCATCCTGCCTTCCTATCTCACCAGGGTGAAGGTACACACCGAGTGGAGCGCCTCCCTTCTTTTCTCCCTGCCATGAGAGGATTCACACAAGGAGAATTCACCTAGTGTGAGATGATATGACTCCACTGTATTACAATTTCCCTGTTCTAAGTACTCGGGACAGATTCCCAGGGGTTATCACAATGCTTAGCACAGAGCAGGTATCAGTAAAAAGTTGGATAAAATTAAATAATTTATGCCAGTCTCTTTTATGTCCACTCCCATTCTTGACCACCTTTGAGTAGTTAGTGCAGGAGACTCCTGGGCTGCATGTTCGCCTTATGCCAAGGATTGGCTACAGGCATGGCCCTCAAATAGCACTTTTCTGCTTTTTATTGCATCCAGTCCAGCTTCTGCAGCATGGACCTCAAAGGCCTTGTGCCTGACCATCTCCCTTCCTTTCGCTCACATCCATTGATTCCAGGCTAGCTCTCCTTTCCTATATGCTGATGGTCTCCAGCCTGCTGAGTGAGCATCACAATCCAAGAAACATTTCTAACTCCCACCAGCCCCCCTGGTTCACCCCACTACGCACACACATGTAGAAGCTGGGCCCTACTGCATGGAGAGCCAGTCCGTGCAGGGCAATTTCAATATAGCTCTCTAACTTTATTGGTATGCCACCACACACAGAAGGGAGCCGGTGCTTCTCTGGAAGTTTGGAGTCCGTCACATTTCAGACGTAGACGTAAACCCCGACGTGAACAGAGGACTCTGGCAGTCCGAGCAGCTGCAGTAGGGCTCGGAGGAGCACTCCCTCTTCGTGGCAGGCTTCTGGGCAATGATCATCCCTTCCAGGTCCTTCACTTTGTTTTCCACCATCTGGAGTTTCTTCAAAATTTTCTCTTGAAGACCCAAGGATAGGAAGAAATTACTATTTTCTTTAAGTTGACCACTCCCTTCTGGGTTGGCTAACAAAGTCTGAAAAAAATCTGAGCCCTTCTTGTAAAGCTGGTAGAGCGTGATGACAAACAACAGTATTTTCTAAAACAAAACAACAGAAATTGAGCATTACTTGTTTATCCATGTGAAACGCCGCAGTTTACTACAGAGGTAAGACAAAGCAGAGAACAGAACTGCAAAGGCAACAATACCCCTCATTTCCTATGCCAAGCCTTCCCTTTAACAAGGTAATTGCTAAATAAATGTTTATTATTTGCATTAAAGATAATAATCCATGCTTTTTTGCTGCAAGTTTGCCAAATGCTGAGCCCTGTGCTAAAAGTTACTTTACCTATATATGACCTATTTTTGCAGGAAAGAAACTAGATAACCATTTATATACTTCCAGTTTGAAACCTGACATTAAGATCAGCCAGAACTGGAATCCAGGAATTCTCCTTTCAAATACACTTCTAAGACCTAACAGTTTGAAAAACTAGATTTACAGGTCATTAAAAAATATTTTTTAAATACACTAGGACAGGTTACTACCAGGATAAGAAAAAAATAATCTTTTCCCCTATTGTAGTACTGCTTATTAATTTTTTTTTTTTTTGACAGGCAGAGTAGACAGTAAGAGAGAGAGAGAGAAAGGTCTTCCTTTTGCCATTGGTTCACCCTCCAATGGCTGCTGCGGTGGGCGCATCGCCTTACGTTCTATTAGCTAATTGAAAGTTGTGTACATATAGGTAAATATGTTTCCTGTAGAGGATTTAAATCAGTTGGATTATGTTAAATGAGATTCTGGAGAACTGAATTGGGAATCCTAAAAATTGGGTTCAGATCTCCATTTCTCCAGCTCTCAGAAACTACATGAACTTGGGCAGGTGACAACCCCATAAAATGGAAACTGTCATCCCTGCTCTACTAGACTGGCTTTAATAGGCTCAGAGATTACATGTGACCATGATTCCTAAACAATAGAAGCACATTAAAATAAGTGAATGCTACAAAATGATCCAATAATAACTTCTCTCTGCATTTGTCTTTAAGAAAATCATCTTGAAATCCTCTTTGATGTTCTCACCGAACCTCTACACACCTCATTTTTCTCATTTGTCATGTGAAAATGATCTTGATTACATTACAGATAAGCTATTATTACTGGTGATTAAACAAAAGTATGTAAAATCCTAAATATTTCTCATAATCCAAGCCAGTTCAATTCCTGATTTAACAAGGTCTATCTCGTTAATATACAGTAATGAAAACATCGTGATGCTTTAATAACTACAAGCCTCCTTATCAGTTATAGACCAATGGCCCCAAAGAGGATGGCCATAGCCAGGACTCCAGTTAAACCATAATGTCTATTGTACAAACACAGTAGGTACTCAAAAGATGAGTAAGTGATCAAATAAATTTATGGGCAAAGCTCCCTTCTCAAATTATGGACTTGTTTGACCCATATTATTATAGCAGATAAGCAAAAGGCCATTGTGAGAAAGAGTATTCTTAATCAGAAAACCTAATTAGCAGAGGTTTTCAAGGATACCTGGTTTCAACCAACTTAAGAGACAAGGGTTTGCCCTCGCTCATCCTGCATGATGTTAACACCGGTGGCAGAAAAATGGGAGACAACAAATACAATTTCAATATATAGATATCTAAATATCTCCAGAATAAAAGAGGATAACCTGAATTGACCGAACACTTCGTTTCCATAAGGAATATAATCCTATTGCCAACAAAGCCAAAAAGCAAATCCCCAGGATGACTTGCACAGCCGGAGCAAGATTATCTAGTATCCCCAAACTGTCTGTCTGAGGTGTACTAGTCTCTCCAAGAAAAATTGCTTGTAGCGAATTCCATATTGTGCTGAGAGAGAGAGAATCTAAGAGGTTGTCCCAGGTAAATGAAGGTGAAGATGGTGGCATTTTAATGAAACAGCAGCTCCAGGAATGACATGTGTAGAGGCTTCAGGAATCCAGTTATGAGTTAGGGAGAGCAGCCTGGGAGCTCAGGTGGAGCCATTGTGAGCTGTGCTTTGTGATGTCACCATTTCAAAGGTCAGCTTGCTTCCCGTCACCCAGTGAACCTCCTCACTCAGAAGCCAACCAGCTGCAGACCTCGGTTTTTCCACTCAGTAGTCTCTCTGATCTCTGGCTAGTTCCAGCTGTGGCACAGCACTGTCCAATAGAGCTTTCTGCAATGATGGCTGTTCTCTGCTATCTGTTTTGTCCAATATGGCAGCCACTAGTCACTTGAAATGTGGCTAGTTTAGCAGAGAGGCTGAATTTTAATTTTAATGAAAGTCACATGTGGCTAATGGCTGACCTCTTGGATAACTAGATGTACAACATGTCCAACAATTCCATGAAATGCACAGTGGTTATTTTCACATAGCAAATGAAAAACCTGAGGTGCACTGAGGTAGCCTGGAAATTTGTGGACAGCATTTTAAAAGGGTTTTCAAGAAGAGTGATTTACTTGGTAAATGTGGAAGTAGGGATACTACCAGATTGTCTTGTAGCATTCCCTTCTTTGCATGCTACTGTTGAGAAATTGTGATCTTTGGGGAGGCTATTAATATATTTGAGCCTCATTTTGTTTATCAACTTGTAGATGGGGATTCCACTTCCTTCACAAGCCTTGCATTATGCTATGATCTAAGAACTTTGTAAACAGGAGCATGCTACACTTGTAACCTCTATGACAAGGCTATCAAATTACTGACCAGAACTTACCAGCAAGGAGCTAAGTATGATCTAGTCCCAAAAAGCTTTCATGAGAAAAAGATAGCTCGTACAATAGGTCATACATAATCCAGATTGAGACTACAAACAGCTAGAATCCAGGAATTTTACTAAGAGGAGGGGACAATAAGGAGGGAAAGGGTCAGTTAGGACAATTTAAAAAAATTGCCTGATTCTCTGAGAGATGAAGACACCACATGCTCCAATCTGTTCATTTTGTTTGACTGAAAGATCAGAATAGAGAAGCCTGGGGAAGGAACAGCTTCTTCGTACATGCAAGAAAGGGAGTAGTTGGGGTAAAGGGGTCTGGAATGCTGTTGGAAATAGAGCAAAATGACCAGTCGCTGACTCAGCTAGAATTCTTTCTAGCAACGAATAAAAATTACTTAGCCAGGCTGGCGCCGTGGCTTACTAGGCTAATCCCCTGCCTTGCGGCGCCGGCACACTGGGTTCTAGCCCCGGTCAGGGCGCCAGATTCTGTCCTGGTTGCCCCTCTTCCAGGCGAGCTCTCTGCTGTGGCCAGGGAGTGCAGTGGAGGATGGCCCAAGTGCTTGGGCCCTGCACCCCATGGGAGACCAGAAGTACCTGGCTCCTGCCATCGGATCAGCGTGGTGCGCCGGCCACAGCCCGCTGGCCGCGGTGGCCATTGAAGGGTGAACCAATGGAAAAAGGAAGACCTTTCTCTCTGTCTCTCTCTCACTGTCCACTCTGCCTGTCAAAAAAAAAAAAAAAAATTTACTTAGCCAAGACTTAGCTAAGTTTGACTACAAGGTAAACACAGCTCAGAAACCACTGAAGAACAGTAGCCAGAAAATTTTTGGAGGAAGGTAAGAGTTGTGACAATTGAATGATTTCCCAAGACTGCCAACACTACATTGCTAAGTTGAGGGACTACTTGGCACTTAGTACTCTCAAAGCACATAATACAATATCTGCAATTTCTGGCTTGTATGCTTTCCCTGACTGTTGTTAGGGCAGGAACCATGGCCAGTTTATTGACTATTGTACCCCTAGTGCTTGGCACATCATCAGCCTTCACATATTAAGTGAAAGCAAATACTTTTAGAAGCAAATCATCAAGTCTCTATTATATTTGTGTACTTGTTTGTATAAGATTAATTTGCAGGGCTGGCACTGTGGCATAGTGGGTAAAGCAGTGCCAGTATCCCATACGGGCACCGGTTTGAGTCCCGGTTGCTCCAGTTCCAATCCAGCTCTCTGCTATGGCCCGGGAGTGCAGTGGAGGATGGCCCAAGTCCTTGGGCCCCTGCACCTGCATGGGAGACCTGTTAGAAGCTCCTGGCTCCGGATCAGTGCAGCTCCAGTCGTTGTGGCTCTCTGGGGAGTGAACCAGTGGATGGGAGACCTCTCTCTCTGCCTCCTTCTAACCATGCCTTTCAAATAAATACATACATCTTTTTTAAAAAAAAGATTAATTTGCACAAAGATGTCACACGTACACTTATGATCAACTATTATTTGTAACACTGATGACCAAATATAAAGTATGATAAACCTTGAGTATAAGGTCCTTCTAAGACAATCTAGTATAAATGCAATCCACTCATTTGACACCAGCCCTCCTACCTGGACACCTCGAATGATGAACTTATAACTCACAGCAGTCAACTCACCACCTTTGATAGTTACCCATCCATCCATCACTGTCACTTGCATTCAACAGTCTTCTCCATCAGCCTGGTAGGACTTACTGACTTATGTAAAAGGTACTTTTAAGCCTTCAATCTTTTTTAAAATATTTATTCATTTGAAAGAATTACAGAGAGAGGGATCTTCCAATGCTGGTTCACTCCCCAGCTGGCTACCAATGACTGGGGCTGGGCCAAGCCAAAGCCAGAAGCCAGGATCTCCCAGGTCTCCCACACGGGTAGCAGGGCCTCAGGTACTTGGGCATCTTGCACCGCTTTTCCTAGGCCATTAGCAAGGAGCTGGATTGGAAGTGGAGTAGCCAGGACAAGAACCTGTGCCCAGATGGGATGCTGGCACTGCAGGCAGCAGCTTATCCTGCTATGCCAGGGCCAGCCCATTCAATTGGTTCTTTATTGCCTTCCAAGCAAAATCTAAAACAGGGCTGTAGGGCCCTAAATTCCTTGTCCCTGCTTACCCATTAAACTTCTCTCCCTTCCCTCTATTATTCTCCCAGCTCCAGCTTCGGCGTTCTCGTTACTATCACTAATACTCCATGTGCTACACCTCACCACAGAGCCTTTGCCCCTAATTGGATTACCCTCTCTCTGCCTGTGTAACTTCTAGTGATTCTTCATGTTTCATTTTAAACAGCACTTCCTTAAGGAAGCTTCTGCGGTGCTTTCTTAGGTTCCTAAGTCAGATTGTTCTTGGTAGCACTTTTACATGACTAGTCTTTCCAAGGGTTTCACGTCTGTCTTTGCTGGTAGACTCTATTCTCCATAACACAGGAAACTTGTTCACTTACCATTCAGGAGCAAGATCGGTGCTGAGTCAATAGTTGGCTTCTCGTTAATGACTCAGGTATCTTTCCTGAGCCTTTGGCCTTCTAAACCTACCAAATACACGCTGACCGGTACCTACCCGTTACCGTTCTCAAGCCAGTTCTCACCTTCAAATGCAGAATCCGTTCCTCCAGGTGCAGATCAAGGAGGAGAGAGCACGGCAGGCCACTCTTTGGAGCCCTACCTTCACATATTAAGGTACAATTCAGTCAGCAGGCATCACGGTCTACCTCGGGGAGGACAGAGCAACTTTTTCATTTGGAAGTTTCTCTCAGAAAGGAAGCAAGCTGGACCTTTCCATAGGTTACATGTTACTCACAGAAACACTATGCACACTTTCCATCTGTTCTTAACATGGGATATATGGCTGTGAGGTTGATCTGCATGACCCGGCTCTTACTTAACACTTCAAACTTTATCTTCACAAACAATACACTGTTGTAAAATCTATTTATTTAAAAAGACGTGACAAAGGGTGAGACAGAACGAGCTCTTCCATCTACTGGTTCACTCTCAAATGCTGGCAACAGTGGGGCTAAGGCCAGGACAAAGCCAGGAGCTCCATCCAGGTATCCTACATGGGTGGCAGGAACTCAACACACTTGAGTCTTCAGCTGCTGCCTCCCACGGACATCAGGAGAAGCTGGAGTAGCTGGGACTTGAACCAGGCATTCCAATATGGAATGTGGGTGTGGCAGGTGGTGGCTTAACCTGCTGCACAATTCCTGAATCTCTACTTGGTTTTACTATAGAGCAGTATTTCTGGTACCTCAAAGACCACCTAAACTTTTTTGTTCACATTCATTTCCCCCTCTATGATATTCTAGTAAGTAGAGATGGAAAAATAGGCTCCATTTCTTGTGTCTGCCAGCCAGGCCAAACATTGCATCTCTACCTCAAGTTCTTTGTCAAAGAGGATAGGGACAGTCTGTATTTCATGGCATTATGAAAATACAAGATAAATTTTGTTAGTGCTAAAATGTGTAATCACCCTGAACTCTCACACCACTTCCTCCTTGGGCTTACATGTCATTTAGTGTCCCCAGAACTTTTCTGTACGAAGAATCTGGAGATCCTACCGAACCGCAGACCCTGGGGGTGGGTGTAGTGGCAGTTGTTTAGGCACTGCCACCTGGGGCGTCTGTGTCCCTCACTGGAATACTCTTATGCTTCTGACCCAGCTTCCTGCTACTGCATCATGGAAGGCAAAGCAGATGATGGCTCCTGGTTTTGGCATGGCCCAGCCCTGGCTGTTGCTGGCATTTGGGAGATGAATCAGCAGATGAAGATCTAACTGCCTTTCACATAAATGAAAACATATAGACACTTCTTTGGCCAGTAGATCTGGAGTAGAGCTTGAAGTTCTGCATTAACAAGCTCCTAGGTGACACCCATGCTGCTGATCCATTTCCAATATCCTGAGGCAAGTGTTTTGCTAGCAGTTCAGATGCCACCAGGAATATCTACATCCTGTATCAGGGTGCCTAGGTTCAAGTCCTAGCTCAGCTCCTAATTTCAGCTGTGAGTGTGCACCCTTTGAGGAAACAGGTTGATAGTTCAAGTAGTTGGGTCCCTGCCACCTACATGAGATCACCCAGATTGAGTTTCTGACTTCTGGCTTTGGCCTGACCCAGCCCTAGCTGTTGTGGGCATTTGGGGAGTCAATCAGTGGAAAGGAGACCACTATCTGTCACTGCCTCTCAAAGTAAATATAATAAATATTTACAAAACCAAAACAAGGCTCTAAATTACCCAACCCCTCTGTTTATCTTATGTTAAAGTTCCACAATGGCTTTAGCAAAT